TTTATAGCATATAGTGCTTAGATTTTGACAAATAACGCAGTGTAATCACCATTATGGTTAAGATACAGACGAGTTCTCTCACTCTGCAAGTTCCCTGTGCCCCTTTAGGGTCACTTCCCCCCCCCCCCCATACCCATGTTCTTTATGGCAAACACATCCTCCAAAGATTAATAAGTTTCTTTGGGAATAACTTTGCAATGGGTATATGCATGGTCTTAGTGACCTATGTGTGTGTTCAGGGAGACTGAAACAAGGGGATGTTTTTTAAAGACAGAAATAGGGGATTGCACAAGTTATCATGAAATCATAGCCCTTGGGTATAGCAATCATTGACAAAGGTGAAGTCAGTCCTAGGATGGACAGACATTTTTTGCAGAGGTATTTTCTGTGTAAGGTTGCAGTGGACTTTGGAAAAGGTTCTGGCAGTGTCTTTTGTGATCTTGTTATCAGCCGTTAATATGAGATTCCCCTTCCTCACAGCCTTCTGGATTTATTTATCTATTCCTTTAGGAATGGACAGAAGGGACTCCATTTTTGTTCAAACAATTTTCACAGTAGCCTTCCAGTCTTTTTTATGTGCATATATACTTATAGGGTTTTTTTGGCATAAATATTTGAAATCTTATTTTCAGAGCATTTTAAACTCTCTGTAGTGGAATATTTTCCCCCAACATTCATTTCTCCAGTCTTGAGTGCAAGGACTGCATAACAGTGAACAGACTCATTTATTTTTTAAATTTTTTTGTAGTTGTAGATGGACAGAATGCCTTTATTGTACTTGTTTTTTTTTTTTTTTTAATGTGGTGCTGAGGATTGAATCCTGTGCCTCACGCATGTTAGGCAAGCACTCTGCCACCGAGCTACACGCCCCAGCCCAAGACTTAGTCATTTATTGCTTGATATTAATTCATTATTACATGCCGAGTGCTGTGAGTACATCTGTGCACAGATGGACAAAGACCCCTGCCCCTGTGGTGTTTGTATTTCACCAGAAATTGACAGATAGTAAATGGTAAAAATAAGAAAATATTATATTTTATATTATAAGGTCATGCTTGCAATGGAAAAAAATGAACAGAGAATTAAAATAAAAGAGAGAGAAATCTGAGATCTTACATAGAGTGAAACTAAGAAGATAAGACTTCAAATAAGTCCAATATCCACTCCAAAGAAACAGCATTTCCCATGGAAGGAGCGGTCTGTGTGAAGCCTCAAGACGGTGACACCTAGCATGATCAGCGTGCCCAGAAAGGGCCAGTGCAGCTGATGTAGAGAATGTGAGGGAGGTGGAATCAGAAAGGGAACAGAGGTCCATGTCACGTAGGACCTTGCCAGCCTTTGTAAAGGCTTTGGCTTCTAATATGAGAGAAACAGGAGCCCAACAATTAGCTTTAGAGCAGAAGAGTGACTTATTCTAATTTATGTTTGAAAAGGAATCAGTCTTTGCCTTGTGAAAAAGCAGAGTCTGGAGGCCTGTTAGGAGGGTGCTGGAGAAATCCAGATCCCTGGACAAGGTCAGGTTCTGGATCTATTCTGAAGATGGCACCAACACAGTTTCCTGAAGGATTAGATGTGGTCACTAGAAAGCAGATAACACATCCAGCCAGTTCTCAGGTGATCCTCAGAACATTCTTGAACAAAGACTGTCTTGAATCATGGGACAGACCAACATGAAGAATTAAATAGCTGCTCACAATCTGCTGGTGTTGGGAGAGTAGGAAAAGTCTGCTTCACCCTTTCTGGAGAGCACCTTGGCTGCAAGATGTACCCACAGCTCAAGTATTCTGTATTCCCTTTGACCGAGTAAGCCCTATGTCAGGGAATTTATTCCAAGAAATAATGATTAGACATGCAGAGTTAAAGCTTCCAGAATGTTCTTTGCATGCCTCTCACAACAATGTCAACGAGAAGCAGTTAAAGAGGACGTGGGCTTTCATGAATAGTGATGAATTTTGCCAAATGATTTGCGTGTCTCAGTTGACATGGTCCTAGGCTCTTTCTTCCTTTGCTGGCTAATAATGAGGAATTACACTGGTGGATTTTCAATGAACCAACCTTGCTTACCTGAGTGAAATCCCACTTGGCCACAGAGTATAATTCTTTTAATGTCCTGCTGGATTCAACAAGCTTTCCAAAGGTAGTTTTGCCAGATACAGAATTAACAGTTAACAGTACTTTTCTTTCAGCACTTGAAAACGTGGTGCCCCTCCTTTGGCTTCGGTGAAGCTGAGAAATGTCCTGTCAATCAAATTGGTGTCTCCCCCCCCCCCAAAGATAACACACCTTTTTCTCTGGCTCCTAAGATTTTTTTTCCTTCATCTTTTGTTTTTAAAAGTTTAAATGGGATAGGTTTGAGCCTAAATTTCCTTTGTGTTTTTCCTACTAGGCTATGTTCAGTCCTTAAATCTTTTTTGTCTTTGACCAAATTTGAGAAGATTGTAGGCAGCACTTCCTTGAATATGTGTTCAAATGTCCAATCTCTTCCTCTCCATTTGGAACTCCAGCAATACAAATAGTAGATAGTAGTAGTTTGTCATGGTCTCGTAGGTCCTTGAAGCTCTGAGGTTTTTTTGTTTGCTTGTTTCCTCATCTCTTTTCTCTGTGTTGTTCAGATCTAGTAGCTTCTCTTTTTATCTTCCATTTCTTTAGTATAAATTTTTTCATTATTTCAAGAATATTTAGATTGTTATGGAGGCATTGGGATAACAGCTACTTAAAAAATCTTGTCAAAAGGTTAGGAAATAATGAGAACACACAGAATCCAACAACCTATCCTTACAGAGAATAGTATAAAATGAATACAAGGAATAACCCAGCTGAGACCTGTGAATAAAATACAAGCAGAAAATGCTACCCTGGAATTAATTAATTAATTAATCTATTTTTTTATTTATTTTTGCCTCTTGTACCCACATTGTAAGAGAATTTGAAAGGTTGGGTTATCTCCAAACACAAGTTGTTGGTACCTTTGGTGCATGTAAGCTAGAATTCCTGCAGTCATTCAGTAGAATTGACACTTTTTTTAATCGCTTCTCGGCCTTTTGGCTAAGATCAAGTGTAGAATTGACACTTTTATTTGATTCTGGTAGACAGTGGGCTTCTTAAGATTGGATTTGGGGCTGGGATTGTAGCTCAGTGGAAGAGCTAGCATGTGTGAGGCACTGGGTTCGATTCTCAACACCGCATAGAACAAAAGAAGGAAGGAAGAAAGGAAGGAAGGAGGAAGGGAGGGAGGGAGGAAAGGTTCATCAACAACTAAAAAAAAAAATAAGAAATAAAAGGTTAGATTTGAGCATAGATGGAAACAAACCCTTGGTTTGTCTTTATCCGCACCTCCTTTGGAGAGATGGAATATTGTCCTTCTTGCAAAGTAGATGGTGTCTAGAAAGAGACAAGACCCAGTCCAGCTGGTACCATGGAGAGTTCTAGAACATGAGATTTAGAAGGTGACCCAGCGTCAATGGGACGTGCTGTCAGAATTGGTGACTTTTTACTTGGTAATGTGATAGGATTTCCACATTCTGAGAAAAGGCTCCTTCCCAAAATGGTTCCTTCCCCACACACATACACTCCCTCTTAGATTCTTGAAAATTGTAAATATTGTACAACCGCTTTATTAGAAATAAGTTAAATTAATACATGGAGAAGTATTATATTGATTAAATTCTCACAGTGGTGAGTAATTAGAGCTGTTCTTTACAGCATTTGGTTTTATTAATCATTGGTTTCTCTTCTCCTTGACATAGCTTTGGAGAGTTATTCCATTTATCTCCAGGGCTTTGGAGGTAGCTTGATCTCTCAGGGTCATTACTTGCTATGCACTCTTAGACAAGTTGCCTAGCCTGTCTGAGCTTTAACTTTTTTACCTGTGTTAAAGGGATCGGTCATTTATTTTCTCCACAGAATGCAGTCTGGTGTAATAGAAAAATAATGGCTTTGGATCCGACCTGTGTGAACCCAACTTAAGTTTCTTAATATTTATGAACTTTAGTTTCCTCATTTGTAAAATGGGAACAAACTTGCCTTTCCCTCTTTGTCACTGTGATAACACCTGAGGTCAGGTCAAGGGGCAGGGGGCGGGGCCCGACTTCACAATGGAGGAAATGAGGCTTGGAGAGTGAGTGACTTGCTGAAGGGCACATCACTGTAAGTGGACTTCTGCCCAGAAGGCCATCTCCATGATCCTGCACTAACCTTGAGCCTCTGGAGCTGCCCTGTGCAAGAGTGGGGCCCACCCAGCCTGGGAGGCCTCAAAGCTGGAGGAGCAGGAGATTCCCTGATCATGTCAAGGTCATCTTCTGATGTGGTCCCTCGCCAGCCATAAGATGAGGAAGAGCTCTGCCACCGATCTGAAGTGAGCCAACCCCTCAGCTCCTCACCCAGGTCACAGAGTCCTGCAGAGGGCCCCAGAGCAGAACAGCTCCCTCAGCAAGCCCTCCCCACTCCTGGGAGAGGCTCCCCCAGCCAGTACGAGGCAGAACCAGGGGCACAGCCTCAGGACCTCCAAGCCCTCCAACCATCCGACCAGATGGGATACTGTGTGGGACAGGAGGGCCCATGTGCAGTCCTACAGGGACCCGAGTCAGATGAGAGGAGGGACTGTGGGAGCGGGGAGGCATGCACTACTGAGGTGAAACCAGAAGCCAGGGAGGTGGAACGAGAAAGGGCAGAGAGGCAGTGGACAGCCGAGCGGCAGACAGCTTCAAGAAGGTGATGGAAAACAGACCTCGTCACTAACACACTGTCCATGAGTGGCACAGAGAAGGTCATGTGTTCTCTCAGCTCCACATGGGTAAGGACTGTCATCTGTATATTTTGGTGCTGTGACTCCAGTGCCTGGAACTGGGCCAGGCATGTAGTGAGCACTCAGGGAAAGCTGTGCATCCCATAATTTTCAAGGGTACCTAAGGCTTGTCCATCTCTGAGCCACGGATATCCTGGCCAGTGGACACAAAACACTTTGTCAGTGGATCAGGTCCATCTCTGCATTTTTATTTCAGGATCAAATTACCACTCACAGTGGAAGAGATTGCCAACTTTGGGGAGGGTAACAGAGAGCTGTTTGTGAGATCCAGTACCTACAGCCTGATCCCCATCACTGTGACCGAGGCAGGCCTCACCATCAGTTGGGTCTTCTCCTCTGATCCCAAGAGCATCTCCTTCAGCGTGGTCTTCCGAGAGGCAGAGGACACACCACTGGACCAGTGCAAGGTAGGCTGGGCTCCTGCCTGGGGGCCTCATGCCCATACCAACATGCCTAGGCAGCCCTCTCCCAGAGCAGGCTCTGCAATCTTTGAGCAGGGCTTATCTGGAATGTTCTAGGTTATGTCATACAGAGCAGGCAAAGAACCTGGGGCTTATCCAGCTTGGGGAAGAAAAGACCCAGAAGCTCAGAAGAATGTTCTTCAAATGTCTCAGGGTCACTCCTATGCCTGACAGATCCATTTTGACCTTGGGATAAATCAGTAGGTGAAACTTAGTGGGAACACAGATGTAGGACACAATTTTTTTAAAAAAAAAAATATTTTTTAGTTATAGATGGACACAATACCTTTATTTTATTTATTTTTTTATGCAGTGCTAAGGATCAAACCCAGTGCCTCACACATGCTAGGCAAGAGCTCTGCCACTGAGCCACAACCCCAGCCCCTCTAGGACTCAGTTTGGAGGATGATTTTCTCTCAGACTTGTGCAAAAGCAGGAATGGGTCACCTTGGGAGGTGAGAACTCTCTGCTGTGGTTATTAGCATAGGGTATTCTGCATCTCATCTGCTAGGATAGCAGTAAAGATAGCCCCGTTTATCACTTGGAGGTGGGGCTAAGAATTTGGTGGCACATGCCAGTTCATGAACTCCTGCACATTCTAGGCAGGGAATGTTGACACTGTAGGAACTGTGGTCCTCACCTTGGGCGGCAATGTTAGAAACATCTGGAGAACTAAAACCCTGAGGCCATATCACTAAATCAGAATCTCCCAGCCTTTCCTGTGGGATTCCAGTAAACAGCTCAGGTTGAGAACCACTGATACAGATAAAGGGGCTGGAGCCACAGCAGAAAGGATGGGTGGAATCCAGAGCACAGGGACAAAGGGCATCAGGGCTCCAGGAATGGCTGATCCAGTATGGGGTGAGGAAGAGAGAATCCCACACCTGGAGTCTGAATCCCACTGCAGGTCTGCAGAGGGAGGACATGGAGGGTAGCGGAGGGTCATGGAAGGGATGCTGGAGCAGTCAGCTGCGCTGGACCAGGGCAGAAAGCTGATGTCTATATTTTGCAAAAACAGCAAGGATCAAGATGGGGATGAGCAGCTTGAAGTCACGTGACGCCAGAGCTCTGTAAAGTCTCTGCAGTAATGTCAGTCGTTCCCTCGAGTATCTGGTTCCCTGAGCACCGAGGGGCTCTGTGAGGATGAGGAAGGCAGAGAGCAGAGAGGCAGGCTGGGGCACAGTGGGGTACACGACCCCCTCTGTTCTGGTTCCAGTGTCTGCTCTTCGCCGTCTCTGCTGTGTTGGAGCCTCCTTGTTGTGGAATTGCTTGGCCCTTTCCATTCTCTACAAACTCATGGATTTTTTTAATACTATTTTCTTAGTTGTAGATGGACACAATGCCTTTATTTTTATGAGGTGCTGAGGATCAAACCCAGTGCCTCACACATGCTAGGCAAGCGCTCTACCACTGAGCCAGCACCCCAGCCCCAAACTTACTCTTAAAATGTAATTCCACCCCCTCAAGGTAGCCTTGTTTACTGGGATCTTGTGTTTCTTCTTTAAACTGCTCTGTCCCTCACTTCCTCTGGGGCTTGCAGCCAGTGCCACAGTCTTGCTTTGGGGCTCTTCCTCCCTGAGCAGAGGGCACCTCCACTTGGAGGGCTACTCCTGACACCTTGGCCTCAGGCTCTTCCATACAACCCCAGATTCAGCACTGCTGAGAGTCCAGTCCCTGAGGGCACAGGAACTCTCCAGGGCCATAGTGGATCAATAGCGGTGTGGCCGGTGTGCCAGTCAGCTTCTCATGAAGGACCTACACCCTGTCAAGGGCTTACCAAAGTGTCTTCACTGCCCACCAGGCGCCACCCAGGCTAGACCCTGAGGAATGTCGGCAGGGAGGATCAGGTGGCGGATCGGGTGTCTAGACCTTGCTGTCCCACCTGCCCCCACATTGCTGAGCCATGAGCCTCTGCTCATTCACTTACCCACCAAGTCCTCCTGTCCCTGGGCAGTGGAGCTTGAGCCTCTGGGTGGCCTTCCTGGGGTTCTGGCAAGCACTCTTTCCCCACAGTGGACACCAGGGGGCAGAAGAGCCCACATACTAGTGCTCAGGTACATCTGGACTTGACGGGCTCACTGTCACCAGCCAGCCATGGGCTGGCTGTGATCTCTGCCAGAGGTCCCCCTGAAAAGTGTTATCCCAGAGCAGCCTTTTCCAGGTGCCAAGGTCTCAGCTTGGCACCAGAATCACGAGCCACCACACAGCTTCGTAGGTTCAAACAGCAATTCTTTATTCCCGCTCTCACACCGCCTCCACACAGGTCCAGGGGCAATCTCGTTCTGCAGTCTCCCGCACAATTCACCTACTCCACGATGCTATCTCCAAATCCCATTTTAATCTCACGAGAACTCAACAGGAACAAGCAGCAGGAACACCCTAATCCCAGCAATAATCTTCAATCTCCAACTTCCCTAAAACCCATTGTCTTAAACTGGCAACGCCTTAAACTCAAGGAGCCGGTTACTTCCTCAAACCTGATCAGCTCTAAACCCAGATCCGCCTTGGTCCTTGAGCAAGCTCACCTTATTAAAGCATGCATGCAATGTCCCATCCAATGTCCTCTAAGCAGCATGGGGTACGCTTGGCAAGGAAATTTCGATGCGTCATTCCTACTTGACAATGGCCCTCAGCACAGGCATGCACCCTTGGTATCCATCCCAGGGACTCCCTGTGTGCCCCCTTCACTAGCTTTGGCCTTATGGGAAATGACAGGGACTATGCAGATCGGTACTCGATTGCATAGGTGTGAAGACAAGGAACTGCACTAGGTGCTTGGAATCTGTAGACAAGCAGTTATTGAGCTTCTAGTGTATACTAAGCTCTAGGGCCCACTGGGGATAAAAGCTGAAGGGACAGCATGAGATCTGCCCTCAGAGCTCACAGTGCCGTGGGAGAGAAGGCCTGGAAAATAAAACCTGTGATTCCAGGTGGTGAGTGTCATGATGGAGGTCAGTGGGGACAGAGAGTACAACTGGAAGGGAACCTGTCCCAGCCTCGAGAATGATGACCAGGGGGTTGTGGCTCAGTGTGTCACCACATATAAAAATAAATGAATAAAATAAAGGTCCATCAACAACACACCCACCCACCCCCCAAAAAAGGAATGATGACCAGGGAGTGATACTCCTGGGCTGATGGGGAAGGCCACCCTGGAAGAAACCAGGAGCAGCAGTTATAAGGCAAGGTGAGAGAGGGTGAGGAGCATAAGAGGAGAGTGCAGGTGAACAGAGCCTCACAGGACAGCCATCCCCAGTGGCACCCATAGACACGCCCTGCCCTGTGCCACCCTCTCTCCTGAGCAGCCTCCTCTATTAAGGTCATGGCCCCTGATAAAAGAAACCAAGGACTTGAGGCCCCCAGTGTGCAGACCATTGGCCTGAAGCCTGGGACAAAGCAGAGAACAGGACCCAGGCCCTGGCCTTTCTCTAGGCAGAGGACCCATCTTTGGCCAGAAAGCTTGATAGCCCACTAAGGGCCTCAGAGGGAGGCAGAGGGGAAGCTGGGACTGAAGAAAAGAAACAAGCCCTCAATCTAGACATAATTCACGTACCATGTAATTCACCCACGTGAAGAACACAATGCAGGGGATTCGGTGTATTCAGAGTTGTGCAGCCCTCACTCCTCTCTACCTTGCATCATTTTTGTCATACCCAAAAGATATCCTGTGCCCATTAACAGTCACGTCCCATCCTCCATCTACCACTACTCTCTATGAATGTGCCGATTCCAGACACTCTGTGTGAATGGAATCACGAAGTACTTGCTTTTTGTTATCATCTTCTTTCACTTAGTGTAGAGTCCTTGCTTTGTACCAGGGCCCCAGGGCCCTGGAGCCCACCAAGAGATGGAGAAAACAAATTGGGCTGCTCCACAGACATGCCACTTACATCAGACACAGCCACCCAGGTGCTGGGGGTGGTGAGAGACACCCCAGAGCTTAACACAGCAGAGACCTGCCCTCTCAGGGTCACACCAAGGAGACCTTGGCCCCCTGCCCAATCCAGAGCGGTGTGTATGTACTTGGATCCCAGAGCCCTTGTTAATTTCCACCAGACTTTTTGATATTTTTTAAATTTATTTAAAGTAACAATGGGAAATAGCAGCTAAATGAATGAAAATTCTGTAGAATAGAATGTTTGAAAGATAGGAAGAGCATTATTTGAAGGAACATGTGGTATCTGCTTTACCAGATCCTCTTGAGAAGGAGCTCTCCATTGTTGCTCTGATCTGAAGGCTGTAAGTGTGAAGTTCAGGACAGGACACAAGAGGTCCGCAGGTGACAGACAGCAAGGCAGCCTCTGCCTGAGCAGCTCCTTCCACACATGCCTGGAGGAGTGTCTTAGCCAGGCTCATAAATGTGAGGTTAGGGACCACAGAAGAACTCAACCCCTCAGCCTCCCAGGTTTCTGAGTCCCTCGTGGAAATGGAATACTGCAGAACAAGAAAGGAACTGAATAAGATACCATGCAGAACAGGGTGCCACAGAGCCTGCACGCAGCAGTCCTACCTAATATGGCTGCTGCATGCTTCTCTGTCTCCTCCGGACTCGTCTAAGCCCACCTGCCCTCTCACCCCCATCGGCCCCCAGCCTGCACAGACACACCCTTGCATCAGGAACACGCTGCGCACCCTCCTTCCGGGCCTTGTGGTTTTCCCTTCTGATTTCTCCTTGACCCATACGTTTAACTTTCTAATTTAGTTTCTAAATATTTTAGAATTTTCCAGAGATGTACTTTTGATTTCTGGTTTAATATCCCAGATGTGCATGACTGTTGAACCGTTCCCCAGACAGGGCGATGAGTTGGATCAGAAATATAAGAAATAGGGGAAATAAAGACAAACAAGCAGAAATAGACAAAGCCAGACTCAGTGGGTAAATCAGCCCTAATAGGGTCTGATTCAACAACACACGAGGCTCCTAGTTTTATTTCATAGATTTTAAAAATCAAAGGGATTCACTGTGAAAAAGCTTCTTGGGTAAAGAGGATGAAGTCTGAGCAAAACAGCTTAGTTGGGGCTTATCAATTTGCGCCCATCTCTTCTACCTAAAGGCAGCTGGGATTTGAATTTGAGGCTTTTGAACTAGTAAATCCCATAACAGGCATGGAATTCTCCTTATCAACAGGCATCACCTGCACATGGGTGGTTCCCTCTGCACCTTCACTGAAGAATTCCCAGGAGAGGCGTCTCAGTGTCCAGGGTTACGTAATTCAAAGTGATGATTCATTCTCAGCTCCCAACAAATTAATTCTATTGAGCCAGACAAAATCCTTTGTGTAACTTGGATTCTGACTTGTCCAAGTTCAGTGTCACCTCTTCCAGCCAGTCTTCCCTACCATTCTGCCTCCTCTCCCTCCCACCAGGCTGGGACGGGCAGCCCTGCCCAGTCTTCCTGTGGCACCGACTCCACCAGAACTCCGTGTGATTTTTGTCTGTCATCTCCATTAAACCCCAAGATCCTTGAGGACAGAGCATTGGGCAGGAATTTACTTCACTTTGGGAACGTCTGATCAACATGTGGGACTTTGAGAAATATACAGCCATTTTCAAGTTTGAGTTGAAAAGCTATCTCATTTTTATAATTATTTTGGATTTGATCATTTTTGTGTAGGTTAAACATGATTAATAGGAAAAAATAAAAAGTGAACATAAAGAAGATTGAATTTCTGAAAAAGATACATTTAATTTTTTAAAGAATAAAAATGGTCACCTCTGAGGTAGTTTGTCACATTAGGAACTTAAAGTGTGAAGATGTCACTGTGGTCTATAGAGCTTCTGGTGCACATTTAAGTGTAGGTGTTCCTAAGATTTGGGACATTTCATAAGACAAGATCCTCTAGGTGCTTGTCACTTCTTGGGGTTAAAAAAAAAAAAAAGAAAAAGAGAAAAGAAAAGAATATAAAATATTTAAATATTTGGTTGATTTTGTTTTATTTCCTACAATAACTGTGGTTTTAAAGTGGGGCCCCTGTCTTAACTGGCCAGCAGGTAGAAGGTCCTGCCCTGGTGGGAGAGACTGGCCATCTGAGGTCCCCAGCCTGGCCCTGGCCAGCATACACCATCCGCTCAAATTTGGTCTCTGAAAACAAGACCCTTGGAAAAATGGCCTGAGAAAATAAATGTTTCCTGGGACAAATTTGTCATTCCCAGAGAAAACAGAGAGTTAACAGGAAACTCAGGGCCTCGTTTGGAAAGATGAAAGGGTCCTGGGGCACGTGGGCCAGCCAGGGCTCAGCTAGGAGAGGAGCCTGTGATGGGGCCCAGCGAGAAGCCCTGGATGGAGCCAGAGCTGTTCAGATGGATGAGAGAGAGGGGGGCCAGCAGCTTCAGGAAGGGCCTGAGGCGGTGTCATCTGGAAAGAGGTCTTGGCCCATCCTGTGAGACCAAGGGCAGCCCCAGGACCAACAGGAGACAGCTGGACACATGGAGGTCACCTAAAATAAACCCAGGAAGCTGGTGCTGGCTGTAGTCAGGGAGGCTGGGGAGCCAGCTTTTGGGTCCAGATAACACTCATACAGCCCCCCCTGCCACAAGTGTCACCAAACTCAGGGTGTGCAGATGGCACTACCACTCCTCCTCGGTGACCCCCAACAGAGCACTCGGCCGCCTCCCCCGAAATGAAAGATCCCCCCAGAGCAGCCATGAGGTCCTCAGCCTCTGATGTGTTTTTCCATCTATTTTTCCTCCCAGGTCCTCATTCCCACGACCAGATGCAATTCCCACAAGGAGAACATCCAGGGCCAGCTGAAGGTCCGCACGCCCGGCATCTACATGCTGGTGTTCGACAACACCTTTTCCAGGTAGGGCCTCCTTCGCCAGCATCCAGATGGAGGCCCCTGGTCTCTCGTGCCTCTCTGCCTCCTCTTCTCGGGCACAGTGTGAACACTAACGATTGATTAGATCATTCTGCTGTCAATAGTTTTTCATTTGTTTGGGGGTTATTTTTGGGGGGAGGGGGTACTAGGAATTGAACTCAGGGATGCTTTACACTACTGAACCACATCCCCAGGCCTTTTTATCTTTTATTTGGGGACAGGGTCTGGCTAAGTTCCCAAGGCTGGCCTAGAACTTGTGATCCTCCTGCCTCAGCCTCCCGAGTTGCTGGGATTACAGATGTGCACCACCATACCTGGCTGTCAGCAGGTCCTTGTTAACAGGGCTCTGTTCCAGTGACTGTTAGGATTTTTGACACTTAACAGTGTGTCACCACATGCCAGCAATTTCCTCCAGCCCCACAGAATTTCCATGCCACGGGGACTGCCTCTGCTCACGTCACTGGACTCTTAATGCCCAAAGAAGGGGCTCAGGAAATACAGTGGAGAGGCCAGACAAATGCGTGAAGGAGAAAGAGAGGAACGGGAGGTAGGAGAAAAAAAGCTTGAGAGAAACAGATCTAAAACTGCAAGGTGAAGCCCCTGGGCCTTGTCACAGGAGCAACCTGGGGCGTCTAGGGATGCAGTAAAGATTACAGCAGGGGCCTGGGCTATGGCCACCTCCCTCCCCACATGGGCACTTGGTTTTTAGCATAATAACTAAACCGGGCACTCAAGAAAAACCATGCTAATTACTTGCCACCACCAGGGCCTGAACTCCCAGGGCTATAGCCAAGGATATCCACTACAGGACAGGCCAAAGGATGGCCTTCCCATATCACCCCTTTTCTGACCCTTCCCTGCACTTCCCTGGGGAAATGAACTCCCCCTGAATCAGCAGGACTTCAAGGTATGCCCAGCATGTTCAAAGAGCTGTCTTTTAGAGCCCTCACCTAAATGGTCACTAGCCACGACCCCTCCTGGCAGCAGGATGGGGCAGCAGTTAGCACTCACCCTTCCCACTGTGGGCCCTACTTGCACCCATTTTCTCAGAGCTATGGCAGCAAGAACTGTCAGTGCCTCCCCAGCTTCCTGGTGGATTGTTGGAGAAGCCAAGGAGAGGCAGCCAAGGGCAAAACACAGCCCCAAGCAGGCTCCCAGTGATCGCTGGAGGAGGCAACAGTGCTGTGGTGAACTGTGGCCAGGGCCCCCCGAGTCATCTCAGGGACTTACTTGAGCTTTTAAAAGCAGAAGTGGCATAGGATCTGCATGCCGAAGTGGAATGAGGCCCATGGTGCCTAGCCTCATGCCTCCTCCAGCACCTGGACCATCTACTCCCCCCAGGCAGCCCTGAGGGTGAAAGGTTCATAGCCTGTGGCAGAAAGGACATTATTCCCCAAGACAAGCCTGGTGACATTCTAAGGCCATCTGACCTTTTGCAGAGTGAGAAACCTGCAAGACAAGCAGGAAAGGGGCCCAGGGCCCTGGGAGAGGCTGTGTTCTCTGGAACATTGGTCTCCCTGGGGAACTCCAGCACCCACTCCCAACAAGGGTCACACAGCGACCACAGGAGGCCCCCATTGAGCCTCTACCCCCCTCAAGTTGTCAGCTCTCAGGGTGACACCCTCCCTTTTCCATTTCTGTTTCTTTAGGTTTGTCTCAAAAAAAGTATTTTACCACTTGGCAGTTGACCGGCCTGTGATCTATGATGGAAGCGATTTCCCGTAGCATGAAACACCTGGACGGTAACTTCACTTCATCCACAGGAAACACTACATTTCCTCTCCTGCCACATGAAGCACACACATACACATACACCCAAAAAAAGAAAAAAGGAAAAAAAAAAAAGAAAAAGAAAAAAGAAAAAAAAAATGACTGTGCCCAGGCTCACTGGCTTGCTGCTCTGGAAGAAGCCCTGCACTGCCGCTGCTCAGAAGCTGAGCGTCTCGGGGCACTGTGTACTCTGTGCCATGCACCTGTCCCTTTTAGCCCCATGGCTCCTAAGGGCTCAAGTGACATTTACATTGATGACATTTCCCAGCTGTCCTTACTCCCAAAGGGACATCCTGCCAAAGGTGTAAACCTCAGGAGACCGCCAGCTTCTCCTAGGTGCGCTGTTGATTGCAGCCTCCTGTGGAGAGTTTCGTAAGACCCCTGTGGCCCTGATTCCCACCCCTGGAGACAGATGTCCTGCTTTGTCCCACCCACACTCAGCCAGGCTTCCTGGTGACCCTAGCCACACCCTGTGAGTCCTCAGGCTCTGAAGCCCTTGAGGACTCCCAGGAAAAGGAGGCCATGGGGCACCATGCAAGTTGAAGCACAGGGATTGGGGGTGCATCCTGTCACGTGGCAGTCCCTTACTGCCCCAGGGAGTCTGGGGCTGCTCTAGTACTCAGCAACTTGGTAGGGGCCTCTGAGGTGAATTTCCTCCTGGCCCTCTGTCTGGGTGACCCCATTCCCAGGCAAAGCCCTCCACTAGCTCAAAACATCACCCTAAGAATCAACTGAAGATAATCTAGGATACAAAGCCCAAATGCTGGCTGAAATTGACACCGTGTCCAAGGTGCGGAACTATGCTTTGGCCTTCAGGGCTGGCTGCAGGCACGGCTTACTAATGAGCAGAACCCAGGCAAGACCACTCTCAAACACTGGGGCCTTCTTAGCAAAATTCTTTGGTAACTTAAGAACCAAAGTAACAGAGGAAACAGCCATACAAAGGAAGCAGAGACATAAATTATTCTTGGTCCCTTGTCCCCACCTGCCAGATTCCCAATACCCCACTTGTCACTTCCTTCTGTTCAGCCTGCACTGACACCCAGGAAACATAGCCCCTGGACACAGGGGGTCCTGTTTCCTTTTCCTGGACAAGAGTGAAATGCTCTTCATGTTCTCTGTGGCCCTTCTCCCAGCACAGACAGCTCTACTTCGATGGCCTTTGTGTCCTATGTGAAGCCAGTCACCTGCAGTCAGGTCCCAGGTACTTCCATAGGACATCAGACAAAATGGCCAAGGGTGAGCGAAGAAACACCATAAAGGTTGACTGAGGATCTGAGTATGGGGCCCAGCCGTTGCTCCAAGTTGGCCTTGGGACCCAAGGCCAGTCAGACCAACTCTCAGAACCCTGGACTAATTGATTTGGAGGGACTGAGAATGGGCAGGGACTCCAGGCCCACCATGCACCGTGGCTTCAATCATCACTAGCAAAAAGGATGCTCAGGGGCCATGAGTAAGGGGACATAGCCTCTGACATGGACTTGGGCCTTGAAACAGGAGTGGGCACTTGCCAGTGAAGAGGGCAAGAATGGCCAACAGCATTTTCAGAGAGCTAGGCCCTTTGTATTCTGGGTTCTCAGAGCAGCCTGTCTGGCAGAAAGCCACCAGGTACTCTTGTCTCTTCCTCGCCAGGGCCTGACTGCTCAGCACTGAGACAGAAAATGGCCGGACCCCCGGAGATGCCCTAGCCTGTGTCCTCACAGGCATGCCCATGGCCTGAGATTACTCAGGAGCAGATTATTTTTCCTTTAAACCCATCTATCCCTTCACAAAGAATCATCCAGTGTCATCTTATTCCCGCGACAAAGAAGCTATCAAGAGCCCCAGTACAGTCTGAGGTCTTAATTTGAGGTTTGGCTTTCCCAAGATGCCTTGGAGACTGGCCTGGCTGATGGCCTTCAACTGGTATCCACACTACAGTCTGCAACAAAACCACCTTTCATTGAGTAGCTGATGTGTTTGGGGCCTATGAGGGACCTGGGACCGTTCATCTGAGTTCCATTCTAAATATCTGTCACTTGTCACAGCAGAGGACCAATTGCACCTTCAAAGACCACCTGGCCCTTGTGAAGCCAACCAGATTTACTCCTCCCAGAGAGCTGGGTCTGACCTTGGCGCAGCCCCCCTCCAGCATTGACTGCCCTTGTGTGGGAACTGGCCTTTGCCCTGGACTGAGGTGACCTAGTGCCCCAGCGGCCCTTCCTCTTTGGTTTCATTAGCATATTTATTTTTGTGCTGAATGGACCTTGGTAGTACATTAGTTCACCGTTCAGGCTCCAGTGTGCTGTGCACCGTGTCGCTAGAGAACGTCTTGGCCTATTTAAGTGTGATTTTTACAAATGGCTTTATTCTTTTAAACAGTTCCCAACTTTACTGAGGTTTGAAGGTTGGGGTAATTTTTTTTTTTAATGCAAATGACAATTGATGAATTACTGCCAGAGATGGCAGCCCCAGCTAGACTGAGTGACACTAGAAATCCCTTGGGATCCCAGATTCCTTTTTTGTTTGTTTGTTTTAATAGCAGCCCCTTGGGACAGCTCAGCTCTGGGGATAATGATCATATTTAGTAATGATACGAGCCGCCTTGTTCACCTACCACTGAAGCCACAATCACCTTCGCCCAAGAGAGACACCAACTACCAGACACACTCATCCACCAACAAGGAAGCGTGTTTGCCATAAAATGTGCTCCTCCACGTCTGAGTGGACTCTACAGCACAATGGACTCCAGGTAGACTGGACCAAGAACAGGCAAAGAAATTTCTTAAGCAAGAATCTGGAACTGAAAAACGCCATGGGGTTTGGAAAGTAGAAATGAAAAACCACATAATAAAACTCAAAGGAGATGGTGCTTCTGAAGATTTTCAGCTGTCGCCTAAGGTGGTGAAGCCACTCCAGGCCCAGATAAGAGGAAATTTCACTTGGAGATGAAATTTCAGAGTCTGTTTCATGTGATTAGATGGTGCACTGTGGTCAGGTGGTTTATGAGTTGCATTTGTAAAAGTCCACCTGGATGGTTCTACCTGTGAGAATTCTTTAGACCAAGAAACCAGCTTGGCTCTGAGGTATTGGGAAGTAAAGCAGAGAGAAGCCCTTGGTGGTGCTTAGAACCAAGGACTCTCACAGACAAAGACCATAGAGACAACTCTTCACGTTTACAAAACTAGGTGCCTCTCAGTGGAAGCTTTCTTCATTTAATTGCAGTTCTTCCTAGGAAATGGAAGACTGGATTCATTAATTCCCTTTTCCCTCTTAAGCACTTTTTTAAAATAATAAAGTATAACTTTAAATTGCAGGAGAAACATCTCTGATAGGGGAAAAAAAACAAAGGAAAGCTTTTCTAGAACTTTATGGATGAGTGTCATCTGGAGGTGCTCTGCCTCTGGTGACTGCAGGGTGACACTCAGCCTTCCCTGGAAGGCTTCAATTGGAATGCACTTTAATCAATGAATCTTCACTTGAGTGGCCTTATGGGATGGCGAGTCAGGAGCCCATTTCAATCTTATCTGCCAAAGAATTACTCAAAAGCACATCAAATACCAAATCTCACCAACACAGTGGGGGTGAGAAATTTTTGTATCCCAAAACATATTCCTTTATAACATCTGCTACACCATTTGGAAATATTTTTAACCTCAGAATTTAAATAAAGTAAACACTATGACCTTCGGAGTGTTGTCTTGCATTCCTTTGAAAAGAATGAGGAAGGTGAATGATAAAGTCGCCTAGACCTGAGTAGGGGGTGAGCTACCCCTCTACAAAGCAAGGTATCTTTTTTCTCCTTTTTTAATATTTTTGGTGCATTAGAATTACACGTAATAGTGGATTCATTTGGCCTTATTCATATGTGCATCTAACAGTGAGAGGAAACTGAGATGGGTGAGTGAGAAATGAAGGGCGGAGACCAAGCAGAGATCCACACCAAGGTTTATTTGTCAAAGCTAACAAATAAAGGCCATCCCTCTATAGAGAGGAGAGAGGCCCCCAGATGTTCGGGGCTCAGCTTTTGTGCGGTAGGGGTTTGGAGCTGGAGCTGTAGCGCTATGGGAGAGGCTGGGGGTGCTTGCGTCAGAGCTGGGCGGGTGGGACTAGCTTGGGATTGGCTTAGGTCAATGGCACCATGGGCTTTCCAGAGTCCAGGGGTCGTGTTCTTCTGGTATTGGCTTAGTGTTATGGTACCATGGGGTAGGTCACTAATGGGGGTGGGGGGAGTTTGAGTAAGAGGAAGTACAGGGAAGTGAAACTTAATATGATGCTCAGATGTTAAATCAAGACCCAAGACCTTCCCTTTCTCTCCCCTCCCCCTTTCCCAGTCTGCATGCTCTACTCCTGATCCCTTTGCTGCTATTATTATCATCATTATTATTATTATTATTATTATTAGACCTTTTATAGTGACTTTACAAAAGGGCTCAAGCCTGCAGGTAGAGTTCAGCAGCCGCCTTGTGGCCTGGCATTTGTATACTTCCTGGTTCACCTCGAGGTTGGTAATCAGATGTGTCTTCCAGGCCGCCTCCTCTGCCAGCTGAGGTTCCACCCCAGTCCCGTGGCCCCCGCTTTCCACCGCACTCATCACTTTGAGCAAAGAATCAACTTCTTATTGGCTAGAGTAATAGAGTGGGGGACAAAAATGACAGATGGCCTAAAACCACGATTAGCTGATGGGTGGTGCTGACAACCGGAAGAGAAAAGGGGTAAGCCCTACTGCCCCCGCTCACTCTGCCCTCACCAGGGCAGCCAGGAGCCTCCAGAGGGGCATGTTGAGCTCACACTTTAATCACAGCTCCACACTGTGGGGTGACCCAGGGCTCAAAGGACACCTCCCAGCACCCCATTCCTCCTCCACTCCTCCCCCTGCTCCCAGATTTTCTCATGGCTGCTTCTTTAATCATGGTTTCTTTAACTCTGGTTCCCCTTCGAGGGCAAAGGGCTAGATCTCCTTCATCATCTTCTCCCCCCGAACTCCAGAGCATAGAGCAATGTGCAGACACAAAGGGCTCAAAACAGTCAAGACCCTGGTCAGTCCCAATGCCAGGCTCAGCTGAAAGGTCATCAATTCCATTGGCTGCACAATTCTGCCAGGGACAGAGACTCCTCTAGCACTCCTCAGGCAGAGAAGGCAGGCCTGCAGGAGTGCTGTGGGGAGCCTGGATGTGAGCCGGTCCCTTGGTCCTCATGTTAAAGATGCCCTCCAGCCCCACCTCTGTCTAGTGACAGGTGAAGTGATGGAAGGTTGGTTTATCTAATTCCAAATCTTTGCTCTTTGACTTGATTTATCACTTCCCACTAGAATGAGGAAGCCTGATGTCAGTCCCTTTCAACTCTCATTTCAGCATCTCTGGTGCGCAGTACAGTGCCTGGACCACAATCATCTCAGAAAATAGCATTTGAGTGAATGGATGAAAAAAAATTGTATACTGTAGAGGTTCCAATTGAGGCCAAAGTTTGTCTTATTCACGCTCCAACTCCACACTTGTTTTCTAGTCAGGAAGAGAATAACCATTTGGTTCTGTAAACTGTAGCTTATAGTGTTCATTGGAAACCCATCTTACTAGCTCATCACTTGTAAGTTGAAGTCCTTCTTCCCTGAAGTAGAGAGAAACCTCTCAGAGAGAGACACAGGAGTTTTCTGTCCTTCTTTTATAAGTGTGGCCCAGCCTGGATTCTGCTGGAGACTTATTCAGTCAGAAGACAGGGCTTTGATAACATCTCAGCTCTAGGAGGGGCCCAGCACAGTGATTATATCCAGGACTAAATTGTTTGTTGAATAGTATCTAGCACACACCATGCTAGGCTAATCTTGCTCTGAAGCCCCAAAGAACTTAAACCAGTGAGGGAAATCTGGACCTGTAGCTTAGATCAGCAACTTGGGGACCAGCAGCTCAGCAACGCATAGCAGATGAGACAAATCCAGGAAAAGGAAGCAAGAGAGGAACCTG